CCCCAAAACCCCAAAACCCCAAAACCCCAAAACCCCAAAACCCCATAAGCCTATCATAAAGACTCAATAATAATACGTAATAGTTAAATTGAAATTCAATTGTTGAACTAATTATTTCTGAAAATTCAAATCAGACTTTGTAGGAGTTTGCACATGACACACACAAATTAAATTGGTTTTTTGAGTCATGATAAACAATTTCATAAGGATCTTTAATGGCCTTGCCATCTAACACACATCCTTAAAAATATCTACAATCACATTACCATCCTCCACCGTATGAGTCATTTTATGTTTCTAAAAGATGACCATAAGTAAATTTTTCTAGAGGATGTTCGTGGATATTTTCAATTAGCTCAAAGCATTTCTAACACAACTCGAAATTGCATTAAGGGCAATGGTGAATCACTTCATTATGATCATTTCCTATCTTATCTGAGTTTTTGCATCCGACGAATTAGTTACCTTTGCAAACTACACCATCATTGTAACCACCGTTCTTATATTTTTCTTTCAATTAATGTAAAGTAGTCAATGTTAGTGGCATTTTACTGATTTTAACTTTCACCTCTTTGACAGGCTGTTCTAGCATCATTAGTTTTATCTGACCAAACTTTGAATTCATAGTTTACGTCACTCTAATGATTTTTTCAATAGCAGATTTTAAGGAAACTAAATCTTCCTTAATTATGCTTATCTCATTGATAAAACGATTTTCAAGATTTTTTAACATCTCTTATTCATTAACTGAGTCTTCCATTGTTTCAAGATTATTTACGAGAAGTATATACTTGTGCTAAGCACAATAAGTTTTCATTCTCAAATCTGGAACTAAGTAGGAATTTTCTGAAATCATTGAGGCCATCTCTTAATAAACTGCTTAATCAGACATACCAGTAACTCTAGCAAAAGATTCTGAAATAATAGCAATTAAAAGGTTTAGCATCACAATCATATTGAAAACAGTGCAAAGTAAGAATAAAATCATCATTAAAGCTGGGGCAACATCCCCAAATTCATCCGTGTCAAAATCACCCAATATCATTTTGTAGGTATAAATAATTGAATCAATGAATCCAGAGGTAAATCTTTTCTCTTAATCAGGGTTTGCATTAGCAATTTTCAAGAATGAATCTCCAAAAGCAATTATAGTAACCAATAGCACAATAAAGAAATATCTCATATCAGAAACAACTTCAAAGATCATTCTGATTAAATAGCCAGTTCTTTTAAAAATTCTCAAGAAATAAAGGAA